ATCAAACACAAGTTAAAAAGTGTCCTTAAGCGATTGAATATTGTGAGGTATTATTACCCTCTTACTACTTCAAATCACGCCAAAATTAATTTAGGAACGTGTAATTTTAGAATCTTCAATGGTGTCAAAATACAAAAATGTTTATACAAATTTGTTTATATATTCGGTAATAATTTTGATTCTTTATCTTGATAAACTTAATTCATCCTGTATATGACCACAATGAGACTAAGGCTTCATTTGAGATGACTTTTTTATTGCTTCGATTTTATTTGGGACAATTTTCTTATTCTTTTATGGAAAATGCTTTCTAATATAAAAACATGTAGTTAAAAAAATTTGTAATCTAAAAAATAAAAATATTTTAGAAATCAGAAAGAAAAATATTCCAAATGAAACCTAAGACAAATATTTCTCTTACAAAATTTGTTTCGTTTGAGCTTGAATGTTATTAAGCTTCCTTCTCAAGCTTTTCATTTGCTCTCCATGCTTACCAAATAAACCTTAGCATGCCCTATTAAGTTATGCCAATAACGAGTACTATTTTTAAGTGATTTCAAGGCAATGCCAAAATGTTGGACCTGTATGGGATATTTACTATAATACGTTCATAATTTAGTTTAGTTCGCTCTACATATCCTCTTTCTAAGAAGAATTAGAAAAAATGTTCAGAACAAAACTCCAAATCTGAACACAATGAAACTATTTAAATACACCGTACCGCAGGAATAAACTCTTCAGGCGGTGAATTATAGAAAGAGATGCATATATATGAAAAATCTAAGAATGATTCCAGCTACCAAATTCAATAACAACTTCTGTACAAAGTCCCAACGATAACAAAAAAATAAAATAGAACCAACAACTAAATAATGGTTTAAAAGGTAGAAAACAAGCTGAAGTACTGTGTAAGGTATTGATCTATACATGATTCCTTAAGGCCAGGCAACTCATATAAAGGCACGAGGCACATCTCTTGCGCTGCCAACTTCTCTTGCATTGTCAGAGAAGCTAGCAATGCATACAAATATTCATCTTCCTTTCTACTTCCGCATTCCTGCACACTGGGAGTGGTTAGTTCAAGAACAGCAAGCTGGGCTTCGAGAAACTTTATATATTTATATGCAGACTGGAACATATCTGCAGTGCTCAACTTGACGCCGCCGGGGATATGTCGGGCAAGCTCCTGTGTCTTCTCGCTGATCCGCTTTCGCCGCTTCCTTGCTGCCACACTCTGAGCTGACAAACTGGGAGGAGGAGCACTGCAGCCAGGAGCCATTAATGTAGGATATACATTTGGCTCAAAAAGCTGTGGTGGCGGCTGCTGCTCCAAAAGCGGTGGTGGTTGCTGTTGAATGTAGCCGGCCACGAAGTCGTCGTTTTGAAAGAGTGTGTCAATGGAGTGGAGAGAAGGGTCGTCGTCGTTGAGGAAGCCAGTGAGGGCTTCAGCTACTTCCGAATCCACTTCAAAGTACTGATCCGTCCCTCCTAATTCAAACAAAAGAAATATATATTTAGCTTAAAGAATATATTTAAGAAACTGTTACAATAACTAATTGGAAAACATTACTCACCAAGATTAATTAACGCCTCTATCTCGCTGCTATCGATTTTTTTTTATTTTTTTTTAATTTTGGAAAGCACGTAAGAGAGCTATTTCTTGTCCAAAAGCAAAACTGAGACCAATAAAATAAAGCTTTTATCCTAAACTGGACAATCTAAACTGAAAATCATAAGGAAATTGAGGTACCTGTAAAGCTCCCAGCAGGATCAATCTCCAACCAGAATACCCGGAGGCATGCATGCGAGAAGAGAGAGATGTAGAACCACGGTTACACTAACGACCAGTTAGTTATGCACATTTCCCGCCAGTTTTAATGTTTATTTATTTAGTTTTATTTTGGGGGAAAAAATTAAAGAACTTTTAAGATTTTTGTATCATTGGAACACTCATTTTAATAATTATAAATTTACTAAAATAAGACTACAAATTAAAGGATCTCAAATTTAAATTTGTTAAGTGATGATTACGTGGTTTTACATTGTAAATATTTTGGAACTTTTAGTTGTATAGTTTAACTAAACTCTATTGAGCTTTATTAAACTGAAATGAAAAGAGATGATATGTTATAAATTTAATTAGTAATATTTTCTCATTTGATATTTTGCTAGTTTGCTAGAAAGTACAGAGTCCTTGTATTTTATTAATGTATATAAAAATTTTCAAAAATCTCATAAAATTATAATTACTAATGTGGGATTTAAATATTATTAATCAAATTAGAATATTTTTACTTTACTGTGTAGGCACTCAACCAACCAACTAAATGATAGTTCTTGATACACTGACTTTATTTTGCATACATCCAACCAAATAGAAAAAAACAATTCATCTGAACATTCAGTTTACTTCAAGCAAAATAGCCTCTCAAAATACTTACTTTAAACTAAATTTATTTTAAACTAGTTGAAGCGAAAATTCCTTTCCATGCGATCCACATAGATTCCCTCAACTCCAAAAAAAAAAAACTCATCCCTTAATTAGCTCAAAAAACTGTAAACCTTGCGATATTTCAACTCTGATGCCCTACACTTACATGAGTTAATCGTAGAGGTGTAAGTGAGCCAGCTCGCTAGCCAGTCCAAGCTCGACTCATTTATGGACTCTTTAGCGGAGCTTATCGAGCTCATGAGTTGAGCTCATTTAGTAAATGAGCTCGAGATTGAGCTTGATGAAACTCAACTTGTGAGCTTGTAAGCCGGTTCGAATAATTATTAAAATTTTTAAATAATTTTATTTTATTTATTAAACTTAAATATTTAAATAATAAGAATAATAAATGCTAAACATATTTATTAAATTTAAATATTTTTAAATCCCATTTAAATCATAAAAATCTCGTTGAAGCTCATGAACTGGAATTTGCTACCTTATCCACAACAAGGAAATTGTGCTTATGTTGGAAAGAATTTAATCACTTGGCAAGTTAAATATCACCCGGATGCAAAAGATAATTACCCGACCCTTTCGTGCTTTAGCGGCAACGGCTATAGATCTTATTTGTTTGAGGAGAGATTATTACGTGCGGCGTCTGATTCATTCGGAGGCGAATCCGGACGGGCCACATCACCCGGATGACATGGCGCGTTCAGATTCGTCCGGAGGCGAATTCGAACGCCGCACGTAATAATTTTTCTTAGACATCTCTCTCAAGAGTTTTGATTTCCCATTGTGCAATCCAACGATCTTTATCACCACAATATCTACGCATAGCTCTACTAATAATCCCTTTTTTCATGTCAAAATAAAACACATTAAAATTGACTTTCATTTTATTCCCAATTGTGTTAAAAAAATGGTTTAATCATGGCTCATCACATCAACCAGCTGATATATTCGCTAAAATAATGGCAATCAAACATTTTCAAGAGCTATGTCACAATTTAACAATGAATGAACAAACTGTTAACTTGAAGGGGGTGATAAGCAGTCTTGGTATGCTGGACTCACCTTTATGGCACTTATTCTGCTGTGATCAGATATATTTTTATCAGCTTTGGTTTTATTTGGGACGGCTTTCTTACTACTTCATAAAGCAGCTTTAATTTTTGTACTAAAAAGCTGATTTAAGAAACAGTAAAAAAACCGTTCCAAACGAACCCTTAATCTTCACCGTTGTTGTATAACTAAAAGCATCTCATCATTCCTTTGTTTTCTACTTTTCCTCTATGCAGCTCATATGCTTGTTGTGACCATATAATGTAGGTTACATATAGAAGAAATATGAAAATAAACTACAGCTGCTATGTTTTTCCTTCTCTGTTTCAGCAATTTGGTCCATCGTCCCAGAGGAGGCCAAACAGACGTCCATAGTCTGTTATTGAGATATAAGGTTTTGTTTGGGACGACTTTTTTACTGTTTCTTGAAGCAACTTTCTAGTACAAAATTTTTAATTTTTATACTAAAAAATTATTTTAAAAAGCAACAAGAAAGCCGTCCCAAACGAAGCCTAACTATCATTTCTAAGCATGACAGTTTAAGCATGGCCATTTACTAAACCAAGTGAAGACAATCAGAAAATGAAAGCACAAGATTCTGTCAAATGAACCAATATGGTACTCTATCAACCAATTTGCATAGAATCATAAAGCATTTAGTATCAAACTATCAAAGTATGCCCCTCTCGATATAAAAATGCAAAACCAAATAAAATTTACATTGCCAAATGTCAATTGGCTTAAGCTTCATTTGGTAATGTGGAGTTTCTATACCATCAGAAACTTATGTAGAACATTTTTTGGGATAACATACATCACAGACTAATACTCTCGCTGGTGCCTCCATTCATGACTTCGAAACAGTTGTTAGCATGCAGGGTAGCTCATCGAAGATTTACATACATACCATCCTATATTACTCTATTTACATATTTAACACCTAAAATTTTAATATTACATACATACCACTCATAGTTCATTTTCATATCAAATATGAGTGGAAGAAATGAAATATATGAGTTGTAGAAAAAAATATCAGTGGTATATTTGATATTATAATAATATAGGATGATATGTATGTAATGTTAAAGTTTTGGGTGTTAAATATGTAAATATGATGGTATAAAATGGTATGTATGTAAAGTTTCCAAAGTTGGGTATACGAGAAAGCACTAAAAAAACATCACCAAATGACTTAAACTCCTATGTTTTTTATCTCTTGGTGCCTCTTCTACGTCTAAGCAGTACCTTGCCCTTATATTCACCCAGGATGATCTTTTCTTCTGATCTTGCTGGCTTAAACACTTGGGTCTTCAAGGGATCCAGTAAATCACTTGAAATTTTGAGTACTACATCATTCTCTATTGCCTCATCATAAAAATGTTTTCCTAACCCAAAATTTCCATTTCTGCAAAGCTTCTCTATCAATAAATCATATGTTGGCCCTAAGTTCTCCCTACATTGACTTTTCATCTTCTCAAACATTTCTACAGCGCAGTTTACATTTTCGATTCCACAAAGAATGCCAATCAAGCAATGAAAGAACCGAGCTTCAACCATCACTCCATTACTAATCAACTTATCCAAAATTCTATTGGCTTTAGTAATCCTATTTGTCAAATACAGGACTTTGAGGACTAGATAATATGTTACCTGATCTGGGGAAGATTTCACCTCTCCATTCATCATTGAAGAAAGGATATTGCAAGCTTCCTTCACCCTACGAGCTCTGGTTAAACAAGATAACAAAATGTTGAAACTAACAGTGGTTGGGGTGACACCAGATGATCTCATGGCCATCATCAAATCAGTTGCTTCTGAGACAAGTCCAGATGGATTGAACTTAAGATTTCGATTACAAATGCAGCGAAGAAGGTCATTGTAGGATGATAAACCAAGATTAATCCCAATTGATTTCATCTCCTTTGAAATCCTTTGGGCTTCCTTTACATTCCCATAAATGCACCATCCATGAAGGAGGCTCCGGTAAATGATTCCAATATTCTCCTCCTGTTGTAGCTTGTCCCTGTAACGGCAAAAAACACCTTCAGCCTTCCTTGCATACCCTTTGCTGCAAAGGGCATGGACCATTCATATGGCATCTTCTTCTCCACCACGTTCCTGAACAACAGAATAGCCTCATCCACCTTGCCGGCCTTAACAAGAGTGTCAGTTACCATGACAAAGGTTTCGGAATCCATCCTGCATCCCATCTTCTGAAGCTCAGAAATGGATATCACCATGGCAGTTAGATCCTTCATCTCAGTGAATGCCCGGATCGCACAGTTGAAAACATCGTCCCCAAAGTCCTCATCTCTGCTGCGAAGACACCAAATGAAAAAGCGGAGAAGCCTTCTGCTCCTGCTTCTGCCACTGCCAATACTGGTTGATGCAGGAAGGATTTTGCAAGAATGGATGGCCTTGGTGGCTAGGTCAGGGGTAACCCTAATGTTCATTTGTTCGAGTCTGATCTCCATGTCTTCCAGACTGCCGATACCGAGTACTACGTTGTCCAGATGAAGTTTCATGGAGTTAGGAGTAGCAGAACAAGAGAACTGCCGGCTAAATTCAAGGCATATTTCACGGAGGAGATGAGGCTTCGAAAAATATGCGAGTCTTTCAATTGTTTGCAATGATAAACAGCATGGAGGTTTCGCGTAGGATTTCAACGAGAGGAAGAGCAAGAATGGAGATAAATTTCGAACCTTTTTGCACGAAAACAATAAGGTCCTCGGCGCCGATGGTGGATTTAGGGTTCTTGCTTCAGTTTGTAGGGTTTTAGGATTTCATTTGAGGAATATAGTAATATGCACAGGGTATTGGGTGCCCCGTTCTTGCTTGGCACCAAAAGAGGTCACCTGACAGAGAGATGCGTTAGTGCTACAGTAAAGCGCAGGTTACTGTAGACAGAGAGAGACCGAACACATCTCTGTGTTCGGTCACCTGACGCAATAATTTGCCCCAAAAGAGAGATGGGTGTTCCTTTTTCTCTCTTTCTCTCTCTCTCCCCCTCTTTCAAAATTGAACCCGCATTATTCAACCCCACTCAATCTGATCCGTTAATAAAAAATGATTCAGTTTTTCGGATCCGAACCCAACCCACTTCGAGTTTGAATCAATCCGACTCATAAGTCCAATTCCATAACTTCGCTTCAGGTTCACCAACAGCAGAAATTGCGTGTTTATTCAACCAAATCACGTAACTATGGTTGCCGTCTGATAGCGGCAGCAGCGATACGCGGCAACAATGCGGGCAAAAGCGACAATGGCAACAGCTCAATGCGACACGACGCATGGCAGGCTATGATGCGATGCGGGTAGTGGCATAGCGGGCAAACACGATGCGAGGTAGGCTTTGACGTGATCGCAGCATGCGATGCCAAGTGTGACAACGGCTCGATGTGACACAGGCAGAAGCCTTTTTTCGGGGTCATTTCCAGGTTTCATGGTCAACCTGAACCCAACCCTAACTCAAAATATTCGGAGTGGATTTGAGTTGGGTTTTCGAGATGTGTCAAATATTGACACCCTTAAGTGCGACGACTATATTATTCTTCTATCCATGACTTTGATAATATGTTTAAAACTTTGCGAAAAATGCACGAGCCTGGTGAGACAAATCCTATAAATCCATCGCCTGTTTCGGTTCCGCATTTTGATGCTTCCGAACACTGGACAGTTCGTGCATCGAACACTGTAGCAGTGTGACGCGAGTCATTCGACGCTACAGCGGGGCAGCGCATCAGCGGGGGCAGGCGGGTCAGAGGGACAGCTTGGCGGGCAGACCGATCGGATGCGGGCAGTTACGGTCAGGGTCGGTCAGCGGGTCAATCCAGGTCATTTTCGGGTTTCCGGGTCAAAAATTATAAACCGAACCCAAAATTTCTGTGTCATGTTCGGGTCGGATTTTAGGGTCATGTCCAATATTGACACCCCTAAGGTTGATCCTTTAAAAAATGATTGAATAAATTTCAATCATGATTAAAAAAATTGTTAAGATTGTCCCAAAAAAAAAACTTGTATAAATGCATATAATTTTTGTTGTAGAAAATCGTACCGCCTTCCTATCTTAACAGTCGGCACTACGTCAGAACTTCACGTCTCTTCATATGAAGAATTACGAAGACATGAATTCTTTAACCAAACTCCTCATAATCTCATGTCTTTACTTCTCCCCCAACCCCCTTCTCTTTTCCTTCAACCTGCTCTCCCCTCCTCTCCTTCATCAAACCCAAGCCCTAGAAACCCTAAAATCTCCTCAATTCACTTTCCAACGCCAAAGCCATTTCCTTCTACACATCAAACTTCTCTCCACCGAACCAACTCGCAATCAGTTGGACAATTCAATCTCCAGCAAGATTGGCTCCATCTCCTCCAAGCATCCATCGAACTAAAAGATCTCAGCTTGGGCCTCTCCATCCACGCTTTCCTCATAAAATATGCTAGGGTTCTCGACACCTTCCATGGCAACAACCTCATCAACATGTACTCAAAGTTCTGTATAGTAGAGTCTGCACATCAGGTATTCGACGAAATGCCCATTAGAAACACCATCTCCTGGACTTCCCTCATTAATGGCTATTCTTCTATCCATGACTTTGATAATATGTTTAGAACTTTGCGAAAAATGCACGAGTCTGGTGAGAAGTTTAATGAGCGCACTTGTTCCTGTATTTTGCACTCAGTGGAAGGCGACTTGGGTATTGGGGAGCAGGTCCATGCTTTGGCTACTAAAATAGGCGTTGAGAACAATGTTGCTGTTGGCACTTCTTTATCTTCCATGTATGCGAGTAATGGCCGGATTGAAGATATGGAGTATTTGTTCAGGGAAATGGTTGAGATTGATATCCGGTGCTTGAATTCATTAAACTTGGATTACAAGAAGAATAAAAATTGGGTGAAAGTCATTCTAACGTTCATATATCTGCTAGAAACTGGTCTTCAGCCCAACGAACATACATTCACAAACACTATAAGTGCTTGTGATGGAAGTATAAGTATAAATAAAGGAAGACAGATTCATGGTTTAGCCATTAAATGTGGTGCTTTATGAGAGATTTCTGTAGGAAATGCCCTTATTAAGATGTATGGGGAGCATGAACTAACAGCAGATGCAGAGAAAATGTTTGGTACAATGAGAGACAGGAATTTGGTCTCCTAGACTGCCATTCTTCCCATTCGTGTGAAGAACGGATTCGAAGCTGGGATAATTGATTGGTTTGCCAAGTTTTTTTAACTGGGTATTGGTTTTGATTCCAGTTGTTTGAGTACAGTGCTTGATGTCTGTTCTCCGTACAAAGATTATAAAATGGCATCTCAGATTCATGTTTGTG